GACCTTTTTAAAGTATTGAAGAGCAAAGATGTCAGCTTGAAGCCTAAGGTGCAACTGACCCAAGCTGTGGTATTTTCAGTAACCTCATATGCATGCAAAAGCTGGACAGTGTATAAGGAAGAGTGTAGAAGAATTTATGCTTTTGAGTTATAGTGTTGGAGGGGAATATTGAAAGTGCCATGGGCTGCCAAAAGAACCAATAGATCCCTTTTTGGAAGAAGTGCAGCCAGAGTGCTCCTTGGATGCCAAGATGGCCAAACTTCGTCTCTCGTACTTTGGATACATTGTCAGGAGGGACCAGTCACTGGAAAAGGATATCATGTTTTGTAAGGTGGAGGGTTAGAGAAAAAGAGGAAGCCCCCCCTCCAACAAGATGGAATGGCCAAGTGGCAGCATCTGGGACTCACACGTGGCAACAGTGGTGAGGTTGGCCCCGTTTCGGGCAGAGTTTCGTTCTGCTGTGCATAAGGTCACTGTGTGTCGGTACCGACGTGATGGCATCTAACAACAACAACAACAATGCACTCCGGAGTCCTGCAGTGGCACTGTGGCCTAATGCGCCAGACTGCAAAGCTGGTTGAACTGCAAGGTCGGAGGTTCAAGCTCACCAGCTGCTCCTGAGAAACCCTATACATGGTTGCTCTGGGTCAGAATCAACTCAACAGCACTTCACAACAAGAACAATGAGTTCCAGTTCAGCTGTCCTCATCACCCAATTACAGCGATGGTTCGAATCATTTGGTTTGGTATGCACGTGCAGCAAGTGCGCCCTAAACACACGCGCTGTCATTTGCAGTATTGCTGGTGTTTTTCCAATCCCTGGTGTTGCCACATTTCCTTGTATATAGTACTGTGGTCTTATTTGTGACCAGTATCAATAACTTTTTTTGAGGACGAAGTAGTCATTAAAGGTAAGAAGGAGAAAAATCCAAAGAGGCTTCTACTCCGTGCTCAATGTGACTAATAATGATGTAATTCCACGTATAAAGATTTTATGAAACCATTTTGTTGCTAGTGTTCCTATACTCTAAGAAATAGTGCATTTAAAAATGCCCAACTGTATTTGTCACATCTTATTCGGAGAAAGATAGGCTTTCTACTCGCGTAAAGATTTACACCCTCGGAAACCCTGTACAGGGTCGCTATGGGTCGGAACTGACTCGAAGGCACTTAACAACAACAAATTCTATGGTTAAGGAGCTATGGTAGCATATGGTTACGAATCGGGCTGCTAACTGCAAGGTCAGCAGTTCGAAACTACCAGCAGTTCCGTGGGAGAAAGATGAGGCTTTCTGCTCGTATAAAGATTTACAGCCTCGGAAACCCTGTACAGGGTCACTATGAGTCAGAACCGACTCCACGGCACACCACCATTCTATGGTTAGGAACACTGGTGGCGCTGTAGGATAAGCACTAGACTGGTAACTTCAAGGTCTGCAGTTCAAACCCACCAGCGGCTCCATGTGAGACAGATGAGGCTTTCTGCTCCCATCAGGCTTTACAGCTCCCATAAAGCTCCAGGGCTGCTCTGAGTTGTAATGAAGTCAGTGGCCGTGGGCTGAGTTTAGTTGATTCAGATTGATAATAAATATGGGATGGGAGGAGGTCCAGGGGTTGGGGGGGTGGCACCATGAGTTACCACCCTGGATGACCACAACACTGTACTTTCAGTCAGCCCTCAAAGGCTGGTCAAGCTACCTCGCAACTCTTTCCTTTGTCTGGAGCATTCCCTGCCCACTTCCTCACCCGTTTAGAAATGACACCTGCAGGAACCTTCCTCCCAGCCCCAGCCATGAACCGTCACTTCCATTCTGTGGCCAGCACAGACACATGAACTCATGACCGCAGTCCCTTCGCCTGCTGAGCCTTGGTTTCCTCATCGGGTTTTGGTGGGGGCTGCTCTTGGCCCCTCTCTTTTCTCTTCAGTGGGTTAGTCATTGTCATGTGGGGCTGAGGCTGGTAACTGCTTATTCTCCCCACCACCCATTGGGAGAAGAGTCAAGGTCACCCTCACTTCTTGATTTTGGATGAACATAGCACAGTCTGGCTCGGTCACTCCCACAGGGCTCTGGGGATCTTCCCAAACTGTGGGCCCAGAAGTGAGTCTTGGGGTGAGTGAAGAAGCAGCCTGGTGTGGACCGCTTCGCCTGAAGAAGCCTGTGGATGGAGGGTGTTCTCGAGATAGAACACCATCACCAGGTCCCCACGGCCTTCTGGGCAGGGCCCAGCCATCTCTGGACAGCATGGAGGAAGTGGGCGTGGGCTGAGCTCTGGGCACTGCCCTGGCCATGGGCAGCAGAGCGGAGGGGCTTGGGGCGCTGGTGGAGGGCGGCTCCTGTCTTGGCCTCTAAAGGGCGCGGAGCTGGCCGCGGCCAGCCATCTCATGGCCATGTCTCTGCCACAGGTGAATGGGAAGGAGCTCACCAAGCTGTCTCAGGAGCAAACCCTTGAGGCACTACGCTCTTCCAAGGAGCCCCTGGTCATCCAGGTGCTGAGACGCAGCCCTCGCCTCCGGGGGGACACTTCCTGCCATGATCTGCAGCTGGTGGACAGTGGTACACAGACTGACATCACCTTCGAGCATATCATGGCGCTGGGCAAGCTGCGCCCACCCACCCCACCCATGGTCATCCTGGAGCCGTACGTCCTTTCCGAGCTGTGAGTTGCCCTCAGGAGGGCCCCGGGCCCTGCCTTGAGAGGGCGTGACCCCAGGGCAGCTGGCCCCACGTCCCCCGGGCCGTTGAAGCAGCGCAGGCCTTGTCCCAGCCACCCTCAGCAGCTCCAAAAGTACCGTCTCCCAGCTTCAGTTGGGGCACCAGCTGGTGACAGGGCTGAGGGGAGGCTGACATGCAGGTCCCCATTGTATCTACCCTCAGGGCCAAGGGCTGACCGTCCTGGGACCTGGCTGCCGGCAACGCCTGGCCGAGGTTACCAGCTTCTCCTCCTCCATTCTTCTCTGCCGCCCCATCGTCTTCTGCGCCACCAGCATCATCCTTTGAATATTCTAGCATCCTTGTCTGTCCCATCCCTCCACCTGCTCTGAATTTCTTCCATCTCTTTGGCTTCTTTCTTTGGCGCACTCAGAAGAGGGCCTTTGGCCCGGGCGGGGGGCTCCTGACGGTGAGCACTGACTCACCCCATCTGCGGGACTGGCTGCAGGGCCGTGGGCCCAGGACCCTCCTCAGCGGGGAGGTAGGCCGGGGCGGCGGGTGGCCAGCAGCCCCTCCTGGCCTCAGACCAGAGAGCAGCCTCGGTGGTCTAACAGGTTCCACTCTGCTAGTGCCAAAGTCCTCTGGGCCTGGAAAACTCCTGGGGGCATTGCATGGTCCGGAGCGGTGGGGTCTTGTGTGTGCTTGGAGGAGCCTGGGCTAGGTGTGAGGTGGGGTGGAGAAGCCAGCACACCTGGACCAGAACCATTCCGGTGTTTGCATGAGTGCAATGGTTGAGAAGGGGGTGCTAGCGAGGAAGTTAATGGTTGCCTAGTGCTCTGGGAACAGTGAACAAGCCCCCCCCCATTATCCTTACCCCCCTACCTTCTCCTGGGCAGGCCCCCTATCAGCCATGAGTATTATGACCCGGCGGAGTTCATGGAGGGCAGCCAGCAGGAGGCTGACCGGATGGACGAGCTGGAATACGAGGTGAGCTCACCCCGGGGCCACCATGGGCCGCTCCAGCTCAGCCCGGTACCTGGTGGCCTTCCAAAGTGCTCTCAGCTAGCGGGGGCTGTGCTCGGTCTCTGTCGGTGAGTCCTCGTGTGTTGTGTGTCTCCATGTGTGTCTCTTGAGCATTGCCTGATGGGGGAGACCATGGCACATACGTGTACCTTTGGGATAGTCAGAGGCACTATTGAAGCTGGGGTCTGCAGGGAGTGTGCTGAGGGAAAGGGGAGGTGCTGCCTGAGCAGGGGGCTGCAGCCTCCTGCTCAGCGGCTTCCTCCAACCCCGTGGCAGGAGGTGGAACTGTGTAAGACCAGCCACCGGGACAAGCTAGGTCTGACGGTCTGCTACCGTACCGATGACGAAGAGGACTTGGGCATCTATGTTGGAGAGGTAGCGTACATGCTGGCTGTCCCTCTCCACATTCCCCCAGCCCCTGGCCTCCAGGACAAGGAGTGAAAGGGTGTCCGCCGTGGGCATGGAGAGACTGGGCACTTCCAGCTGGCAAGGTGGGCACTCCGACCCGTCTCCCCAGATAGGGAGAGGTGACTAACCAAGTGCCCGCCACCTTTTACCCTTGTTTCTTGGGACTTGGGGGCTTGAGAACGAGCCTCCGATAGACTGCAGGACCCCCAGGCTCATTTGCTCGAAGCAGAGGGTGGCATGATCATACATTGTGTGTGCTCTGCAGGTCAATCCCAACAGCATTGCAGCCAAGGATGGCCGGATCCGTGAGGGTGACCGCATCATCCAGGTGAGGGAGCCCAGCTCGCCAGGCCTCCCAGGGCTGCGCCTCATTTCTGTCCTGCTCAGCCATTCCAGGCAGCTCCCAGGTGTCCAGGGGAAAAGGTCGCTTGCCACTCCAGCTCCCGAGGCACGCACGAGCTTGTCTCCTCAGCCATTTGACCTTGCTTCCTGGTGTCCCCAGAGCACACTGGGCTCTTGCATGGCCCGGGCCCTTTCGCTCCTCCAGCACCTCCCACCTATTTACACCCAACCCCATAGTTCAAGACTTTGTCCGTGCCAGAGAGCACGAGGGGTGTGGCCTGCCTGG